GAGGCACAGAGAGCAACTAGCCCCTCACTACGTGGCTCAGAAGTGGCACCCAGCAGCGTGCTTCCAGAACCCAGGTTCATAGCCAGGAGCCCTTTACTGCCTCTTCTGGAAGCTCTGAATGAACGAATGTGAACAAATAAGTGTAGTCTCCTCCTTGCAAGTAAGGCTCTTTGCAAAGGCTGCACCCTGCTGTTGCCACTACACCCCAACTTCTGGTCCCAGATGAGCTGGGACCAGGAGCTTGATTGCTCTGAGTCTTGGTCACCTCAGCTAAAAATGGGATGACAGTCACAAGAGGCACCTTGTGGGGCTACTGTAAGGATTCAAGGGATGCAAACTCATATTCAATGGCTATCTGTGGAGCGTCTGGTCTGCCAGGGCCTGTGCTGGGGACACTGCTAGGAAGGAGACAGACCAGGTCCCTGCCCTCAAAGAGATGATGCGTGTGCTTGGGGTTTGGGACAGTCAGTGCAGGGCCAACCCCACTCAGCACTCAGCAAATATCCACTTTCACGATTTCCAAGCAGGATGCTGGGGTATCAGGGAGACCCGGCAGGGAAGCCAAGCCAGCAGCAGTACTGCCTGGGGTTGAGGCCTGGCATGGTCCACCCCACCCCCGCCCCCAGCCATCTGACCTGCTCTGCAACTCAGGATCCTCCCTCCTTAGATAGGGGGGATGGGGGATGGTGGGATGGTGTGCAGGCCGACTCCCTCTTGGGGGTCCTGGGTAAGCTGGCTCTGTCAGGGGTACAGGGGGCAGGCAGGGGCCAGGTCCTATTCCTGACCCACGCTCACTCACCGATACGCTCAATCCTCGTCACGTCGCGGATCTCTGGGACCTTGGTTGTGGCTGTCTGGAGTTGGAGGAAGACGCATCAGTAAGAGCCTTTGCGGTCCCAGCTTTCAACAGCCCCTCCTCTGTCCCTCCTGCCCGCCTCCCACAAGACAGTCCTTTCCACTCCTCCCCACAGGCAGGCTGGCATCCCAAACACCAGATCCTCCTCAGCTGTCACCCACTAGGGCTGGTGGGTTGACCCCATTACGCTGTCAGTCCCAGGAAGCCAAGGACTGTGTCTGTCTCGTTCACAGCCCCGTCCCCATGGCCGGGCCCATGTTTGGTGCCCAGGAATTATTTGCTGAAGGAAGAAGTCCTCCCCGTTCCCCAGAGCTGCGAAGACAGATGCAGAGTGGGCATTAACTTGGACGTGTTCTGGCCCCCCTTGCGCCTCGCTGCCCCAGCTCTGTCACTAGGCCTTTGCATGTGCAGTTCCCTGGTCTGGCCTGCTCTCCCCACCCCCCTCACTGAATCAGATCAAGCGTCACTCATTAAGGGAGACTCGCCCTGACCTCAGCCCCTGCCCGGCTAGTTCTAGGGTCTCTAGATGTCCAGACAGAAGGAAGGGCCTCTTCTGGGAGTCTGATCTCACACTCAAAAGGTAGACTGTTGGATCAATGTTCTTGTCTCCAATGGATGTGAGTCCCATGAAGGGCACAGCCCACATCTCACTGGTCTCCCTTGGGGCTCAATGTTTGGAGTTTGAATGAATGATGACCTGAAGTGCTGAGCTCACTCAACAAGCAGGAACTGAGGTCTCCTGTGTCCCCAGCTTTCCAAAGAGCAAAGTCAGACATTATCCCTTCTCATGTCAGGGAGACAGATGAGTAAACACCGCCTGGGACAATCCAGAACTGAATGGAGATCCACTAAGATATTCATGGCAGTGTTATTTATAACCAAGAGGAGGAAAAAACCCAAAACATCCATCAACGGATAGATAAACAAAATATGGGGTAGCCATAAAACGGAATATTATTCAGCCATAAAAAGGGATGAAGGGACTTCCCTGGTGGCGCAGTGGTTAAGAATCGCCTGCCAATGCAGGAGACACGGGTTCGAGCCCTGGTCTGGGAAGATCCCACATGTCTCAGAGCAACTAAGCCTGTGCACCGCAACTACTGAGCCTGCGCTCTAGAGCCCGTGAGCCACAACTACTGAGCCCGCGTGCCACAACTACTGAAGCCCACGCGCCTAGAGCCCGTGCTCCGCAACAAGAGAAGCCACCGCAATGAGAAGCCCGCGCACCGCAACGGAGAGTAGCCCTCGCTCACTGCAACTAAAGAAAGCCCACGCACAGCAATGAAGACCCAACACAGCATACAATTCTTTAAAAAAAAAAAAAAAAAAAGACCCAAGAGTGCTAGCGCCATTTTGCAACCTTGTCTCCTATGAAACCACATATTATACAAGACTCATTCCTCTCTTGTATGTAGAGCTCTGACAAGTAAATCACTAAGGAAAAGGCCAGAAATCCAATGGGAAAAAAGTGGATAAGGGATTTAAACAGGAAATACTCTCGTTTAAGTATTTACAAGAGAGCAAATACAAGTATTTACCCTCCATGAAAGAAAGTCAAGTTAAAACTATATTGCGATATCATTTTCCATGACTCAATGAACAAAGATGAAAACATTTGATAATGTAGAATCATGGCAAGGGTTTGGGGGGGTTTCACATATACTGTTGATAGGAGGGTAAACTGGTACTCTCTATCTGTGGAGCAATTCGCAATATCTATCCAAATGAAAATTCACATACCTCATGACTGAGTCTCCATTATAAAAATTTATCTTACACCTATCTTTCCACTTGTAAAAGAAAGCACATTTATGAAGATATTATTGTAGAATTGTTTGTAAAAGAATAAAAAGTGGAAGCAGCCTGATTGTTCAAGAATTGGACTCTGGAAAATTTTTTAAAAAAAAAAAAAAAAAAAGACCCAAGCCAAAAATAAATAAATAAATTTACATAAATAAGTAAATAATATTATTTTAAATGGATGAAGTTCTGATCCACGCTACAACATGGATGAACCTTGAAAACATTGTGCTGAGTGAAAGAAGCCAGACACAAAAGATTACATGTTGTATGATTCCGTTTATATGAAATGTCTAGAATAGATAAATCTAGAGACATAAAGTAGATTAGAGGTTGCCTGGGGTGAATAAAGAAAGGGAGGCCTAAGAAGACAGCACGCTGACCCAGCTCCTTGACCACCTGCCCCCAACCCTCTTCCTCCTCACAGGTCTCCTAACCAGAATGAGAGGAGATGCAGGCATCCAACCCAAGGAAAACCCTCCTCTCTCTGGAACCAAGAGTTCAGACTTCCTGACCATGGCATGGTCACAAGCCTCCTCCCTTGCTGTTTGTGACCTCTCGCACTTACTCTTCCTGATAGGAGGTTGGTCACTGCCTCCAAACCCCTATCAGAAGATTGAGAACATACTCTCACCCACCCCTATACAGCCTATCAGACTCTACTCGAGACAAAAAATAGACATTGGTCCAGGAATCCCAACCCTCGGCAATCCCAACATAAACAGACCTGCCTCCTACAAAATCTTTCCTTTCACCATAAGCCTCTCCTACCACCCCGCTGCCTGCTGATCCCATGGAAACAAAACTGAGCTCCTACCATCCCCTCATACTCCCAATACTTCATGCACACCCATGCGAACTGGGTCTCAGGAGTGTGGCCACTGCCCTTTCCTCTTCCGCTTCCCCATCCACCCCCTTTGCCATAACAACAGAAACAGACTCACATGTCGCCCCTCAGGCACCAGTTAACTCTCATCCAGACCCTAGCCCCATCTTGACTGGGGTCACCATGGGAACCGAGGCATCTGGAAGCCACGTCCAACGCCCAAGCTAAGGCTACATCCCTTCTTCATTCAGATGTTTCTCAGAAAAGTACTAGGTGCCTGGCCCAGTGTACCTGGTCTCTCCTTTATGGAGTTCACATGCATACATTCAAGTGTTAACTTATTGAGCATCCACGTTGGGCATGCCCTGATGAAATGCTGGGAATATGAAAATGGCTAAAACAATCCCATGACAAGTTCCTAAGCCTCTGTGTCCCCGGCCCTTTCCGCTCTCTACTGACACCCTCTGGGTTCTCAACACTCTCTCTTTTGGCTCAAGACTCAATAAGCAACTCCACGATCTGAAGCGCATAGGGCAGGTCCCCGCCTGTGTTTCTCCCTTGTACTCAGGTCCTATTCACACCATCAACAACCCAAGACTGCTGGATGGCTTGGAGCCCAAGACACTACAACCCTCATCAGACTTTAAGGCAAAGGACTGGAGAGCAGTTGCGCCCAAAGGATTGGAAGTTGGAGTTCCTAGAAGATGATGGAGTCAGATTTGACCACTGAGACTGTAAATATTCACTTGAACCCAGGATGCCGGTATCCTAGTCCCTTCTTTTTTCCTCCCTCAGATCCTGAAGCCCGGGCCCCCAGCTCCCTCCTTCCTCAGAACCAGGAGTACAGGCCCCCAGCCTCCTCTCCGCTGAGATCCAAGAGTCCAGGCCCCCAGTCTCCTCTCCGCTAAGATCCAAAAGTCCCCGTCCAGCCCCCTCCTCCTTGAGACTCCTCAGCCCTCCGCACGCCGACACTCACCAAGGTTGCCATGATGCTCACCAACCGCCAATATCCTAGCGGAAACGGAAACGCGCTAGGAACGAGGCGTTCTGGCCCCTCTAGACTGCCAGGTCCTCCAAATATCTCGGTGGTTCTCCTGGTGAGGCGCGGCGTCACTTTTCAGGCCCCGCCCATCCAGGCTGCTCTAGAAGATGAGTTCCCAGAACTCCTGAGTCCATTCCCCACGCCTCGTGGCTCCTCCTCCTTTTACCCAGGCCTCCTTTCTAAGGCCGATTGCAAAATTCTTAACACTTCTTCGGGCAACCACACGTGCCCCACGCCTCCTTTCCTCCTTATCCACCGTCTTCCCTCCCCCGCCAATTTTGGGGCCTCTAGCTTCGGATTGACAGAGCTGAAGGCCAATCAGCTAGCGCAGCGATAAGCTCCGCCCACTGGAGCTCGCACCAACAGCCAAGGCGGGGGCGGGGCTGAGTGAACCCTGCACTGTTCACCAATGAGAGACGCGGGAGCCCCGCCCCCGGGCGCTGACCAATGGCGCTGGTCGGGGGGCGGGCACCCCCTCCTGGTGGCCGCAAGGGTTCACTGCAGGAACCCCCACTGGGCTCAGTGACGCTGCGGCCGTCTACGGCCCCGGTCCGAGCTCTGCAGGCGGTAGTGCGGTCGTGCAATAGGAAGCCGAGGGTGGTGCAAGCTTCCCGTCGGGCACCAGCTACCTGGCCCAGCGGCCTGCCCAGTGCATTCCTCAGACACCTCTGGGGCCCCCACCTGTGGCCCCCGGAGCCCTCTAACCGCGTCGGCCATGCCTCTAAACCGCACTTTGTCCATGTCCTCACTGCCAGGACTGGAGGATTGGGACGATGAATTCGACCTGGAGAACACAGTGCTTTTTGAGGTGGCCTGGGAGGTGGCCAACAAGGGTGAGCACGCCGGGCGGAGGGACCCGGATGAGAAGGGCAGTCGGGGATGGGGGCCCGGAACTATAGAGTAACAGAGGAACGAGGCTTGGGTCCTGGGCAAGGAGCCTGTGACTCCTGTGTCCTTGGGGAGGGACTGGAGTTTGTCTCCTGTGCCCTGGAGGGAGGGGATGAGTCGCCTAAGATGAAAGGAGGTTGGAAACCCAGGTCCTGGGTCCTAGGGGTGAGGGGGCTAAAATGAAAAAAGACCAGAGACCTGGGTCCTCAATAGGGAAGGAGATGGGGGGAGGGGTTTTGCACTTCAGAACTGTGGCCCTAGGGGGAAGGGTCTTGGGATGTAACTCCGGATTTGGGAGAGAGCCCACTTGGAGATACGATGCGTGAATCCTGGTGGGAGAATTTGGGGAACTGGTCATTTGAGAGTAAAGATGTGAAGGGGCTGGAGACCCTAATTCTTAGATCCTAGGGTGAGAGAGAGTTAGGGCCTGGATGCCTGGGTCCTGCGGGCCTGAGCTCTGGGTTCTTAGGAGTAGAGGAGTCTGTAGCCTCAGAGACATGCGTGCAGGAATGGGGAAAGGCTGGGAAGTCCTAAGCTGGTCAGGGGCTGGGCCCTGGGATGGGAGTGGCTGGGGGCCTGGATTTCTGGGTTCTGGGCTCCAAAGGGCCTGAGGTTCTGGATTTGGAGAAGGCTGGGACTGGAATCCCAAGAGCTAGGCAGTCTAGCTCCACAGAAGAAAGGGAGCTGAGATTTTGCTTTGCTGAGTCTTGGGAGAGAAAGGGGAGGTCTGTGAACATGGAGACATGGATCTCCAGGGCCCAGGCTTCAGGAGGTAAGGAGGCTGGAGGCCCAGACTCCTGGATCTGGAATGGAGTCACGGGAGGGGCAGGGCCCTGTATGCCTGTGTCCCCACGTAGGGAGAGGGAACTGAGGGACAGGTCGGCAGAGCCCCCGGGGGGTGAGGAATAACGGCTCTGGCTTCTTCTGGGCAACTCTGAGGACCTAAATGAGGCCACGAAGAGGGATTCTCCCTTACTGTGTCCTGGAGCCTGACTGGGAATTTAAATCCAGCTCCTGTAAGCTGGGAACTCAAGAAGCTAGGCCCTAATAACCCTTGTCAGCTTCTGTTCTCCTCAGCCCCAGCCCCTAATTCCCTCACACCTAGAAGCCTAGGCCCCCAGCGCCTTCTCTCAGACTCAGCACCCTCCTCCCTTCAAGTCCCGACCCCAGCCCCCTTCTCCCATTGACCCAGGAGTACCATCCATCACCGCCCTCTCCCCTCCTTCCTCTGACTCTGAAGTGTGGGCTCCCAGGCCCCTTTTCCCTCTGAGCCAGAGGTCCGGGGCTCCCGTGCACCCCCCCCCCCCGCCCCAGGCCCCAGATCTGTGGACCTCTGCCCACAGTGGGTGGCATCTACACGGTGCTGCAGACGAAGGCGAAGGTGACAGGGGATGAGTGGGGCGACAACTACTACCTGGTGGGACCGTACACGGAGCAGGGCGTGAGGACCCAGGTGGAACTGCTCGAGCCCCCGACCCCAGCCCTGAAGAGGACTCTGGACTCCATGAACAGCAAGGGCTGCAAGGTGGGACATGGCCCTGCCGAGGGCAGGGTGGGGGCAGCAGAAAGAGAAGGAGCAGGGGATGGACAGCCCCAGGGAGAGAGGGAGGCATGGACAGAAACTCAGGATGGCCCAGCACTTTCCCGGGCAGACATCTGACAGACACTCAGACAGATGCAGGACCCCGTGAAGTGAGTGGGTGAACCCCCAGCTCTAAGACATTGGTGAATGGACAGACAGACAGCAGGTATGAGACAGACTGAAAGATGGTCCCAAGAGGCCAAGATCCTCAGATCCAGAGAGAGGAAAAGAGCTACATGGACAGCCAGACAAAACCCAGGGGAGGTGGGCTTGGGGGTGAGGCAGGAGGCCAGAGCAGGAGTTCTGGAGCCTGAAGTTCAAATTCGCCTTCTCTGCTTCCTGCCTTGTGACCTTGGCGAATGAACATGCTAATAGCATCCGCTTTATAGGTTTCCTGGGAGGATGAAATGTTCATAAAAAGTTTTCAGCCCAGGTCCTGGCATGCAGTTAGTACTGTCTGTGAGCTGTGAGGTGTCATCGTGGTTATTATTATCATCATCATTATTACTGAAAGCAGCCACACTTGGAGAGTGAGGTGGACAGGCAGGCAAAGGAGGAAGCCAGATGGAGAGAGGCTGAGTGTTCCAAAAAGTGATGGTGGCCCCAGTGGTTAGAGCAATAGGGAGATAGACAGAGTCCAGAAACAGAAAAGAGATAGCCTGATGTTTTAGAGAGAAGGATCTCAAAAGAGAGAGGAAGATGGAATATTGAGGAAGAGAGGAGAGGTAGTCAGGCAAACCCGGGGGACAGAGTTTTGGATGCGCAGCCAGGAATTAAAAGGAGGAGGGGAAAAAAAAATAAAAAAGAGGAGGGGAGAGTCCCAGGCACCCAATGAGAATTGAAGGATGAGGACAGAGAGGTGGCTGTCCCCCAGGGAGAGGGCCATCAGGCAGCAGGGCTGAGGTGCAGACATTGGGGTCTGGGAGGGAGAGGTACAATGCTGCCTTCATTCATTCACAGCCTCTGATTTGGGGTGGGGTCTGGAGTCCAGTGAGACGGGACTGTGTCCCTAAGGAACCCTAGGGCAGCCCAGTCCCTCCCCCATGGCAGCTGCTGTCCATGTGCTGGGGGCCTAAGAATAGCCCCCCCAGCAAAAGGGCAGACAACAGCTGGGAGGGGGAGGAGCATAGGGGGTCAGGCACCTAAAGCTGGGAAAAGCCAGGCTGGGGAGGAGTAGGATGGCTTGTCGGCCCAAAATCTGGCAGCAGGCCCAAAATCTGGATCACGGTCTCAGGAAGAAAGCAACAGATCAATGAAACGTGGCAGGGCCAGAAATGCGACCACAAGGCTTAGAAACACGGCAGTGGGTAGAAAAATGTAGCCCCCGTGCATGGAAAGTGGGTGGGCAGTGTTAGAAATGAGGCTGCAAAGTACAAGATGGGCCTATGGGCAGAGAAAAGAGGAAGCAGGTGACAAATATATGGCGAAAGGATCAGAAACAAGGGAGCGAGTGGAAGAAGGAGCCAGTACAAGGAGTGAGCGGCAGAAAGGAAAGATAATGGGAGAAAGCAGCATTATGGTTGGTGAGAGAAATGTGGCAGCGAACACAGAAGCAAGGCAGCGAGCTGGAGAAATGATTAGCAGGGTGGAAAAATAAGGCAGTGGGGGCACAGAGACAGGACGTGTGCAATGTGGGTTTATAAGTAGAGAAGAGAGGCAACTGTTAGAGAAACTAAGCAAGGGATAGGGAGATGCTGCAGCCGAGATGGGAAAAAATTGTGGTGGGAATAACTAATGGCAAATAGAGAAATAAGGCAGTAGGTGAGAAATTAGCAGCAGATACAGAAACAGAAGGTAGAAGCACTGAGGCCATGAACCCAGACGTCTCCCTGGGGATGGGAGAAACGCAGTTGCTCTGCCCAGAGACAGGTGGCCAAAACCCTAAAACCCTGTGTCCCCCTGCAGGTGTATTTCGGGCGCTGGCTGATCGAGGGGGGCCCCCTGGTGGTGCTCCTCGACGTGGGGGCCTCAGCCTGGGCCCTGGAGCGCTGGAAGGGGGAGCTATGGGACACGTGCAACATCGGGGTGCCCTGGTATGACCGGGAAGGCAACGACGCCGTCCTTTTTGGCTTCCTCACCACCTGGTTCCTGGGTGAGGTAGGCCCCACTGCCAATCCCCGTGTCACTCCTTTCGACCCCAGGCCCCAAATTACAGTGGCCATCCGAGGCCAGAGGGTGGCCAGTGTCTCCCAGAGCATTCTGGGAGTTGTAGTCCTTTAAACCGAGGATTAGCTCTGGTTTCAGGCAATATGGACATCCAGGGGCCAAGATTCTTCTTTCCTCAAAGACCCAGTCTCCCAACCCCAGCTTCATTCACTCCAGTCTTCCAAATATAGGAATTCTAAGCCATTAGCTCTTGGGGAGGCTGGCTTGACGGGAGGGCTCACCCCCCAGGGAGTTCTGGGAGTTGTAATTCTCTAATATGGGCGGGACTTGGCTCTCAGATGAGTCCCCGGATGTTTGGGAATCCCCAGCCTATCTGAGAACCAGGAACCCCAATTCGGACCCTCTCTTAGGTTTTAAAAGGCTCAAGAAACTTGTTTCCCATACCCTGGGACAGTTTATGAATTGGCCGCTCCTAGGGCATTCTGGGAGTTGTAGTCCTTCAACCAGTATCCAGTACAGGTCTACTCTTGATTGACATAAAAGGTGTCCAGGAATTGTGTTCAGGACTTGGGGACACTAAAACTTTGGTCTTTCCAATTCAGCCCTTCTGGAACTTAGAAGGTTGGTCAAAAAAACACAGCTCCCATCAACCTCTGGGAATGAGGTCAGCTGGCTAGTCTGGCTGCCTTAAGAATTTAGAGCTCCTTGTCCCATGGGGATTGCAATGGGTCACCACCCACTCTGTGCGGTTGTGGGGATAGATTGACCTCCTCCCTGCTTCCTCATCCACGTTGGGGATTGCTGGTTGTCTTCACAACACACATGGAGACACAGTGGCCCTACGCCTATTGCCCCACAGTTCCTGGCCCAGAGCGAGGAGAAACCACATGTGGTTGCACACTTCCATGAGTGGTTGGCGGGCATCGGGCTCTGCCTATGCCGTGCCCGGCGGCTGCCTGTGGCTACCATCTTCACGACCCACGCCACGCTGCTGGGGCGATACCTGTGTGCCGGTGCCGTGGACTTCTACAACAACCTGGAGAATGTAAGCTGGGAGCGTGGCAGATGGGGGCTGCCAATATTTCAGGACAGCCCAAGGCTGTCTGCGAAGCCCAAGGGGATCAAGTTCCCTCTTCCCCCAGGACCCAGGAATCCAAGTCCCCAACCCCCTCCACCCTCAGGCCCAGGAGTCTAGCTTCATGGCCCAATCTCCCTTAAGACCCTGGAGTCTGGACCGCCTGTCTTCTCCCCAGTTCTTCTAACCTGATTGCCCTCCCTCCCTACCCAGTTCAACGTGGACAAGGAAGCAGGTGAGAGGCAAATCTATCACCGCTACTGCATGGAGCGGGCGGCAGCCCACTGCGCTCATGTCTTCACTACCGTGTCCCAGATTACCGCCATTGAGGCTCAGCACCTACTCAAAAGGAAACCAGGTAGGAAATAGGCCTGGGTCTGTAGGCATAAACGAGGTAGTCTATGCCAAGGCCTGTTCCAATGTTTTTGCTGTAAAGAGCAGAGAACTACAACTCCTAGAATGCCCTAGGTTGGTGACCTGAATATGAGGCTGCCTGGCTGCATGCCCTAGAGGCTAATGGGAAGTGTAGTTTCTTTAATCTCAGAAATGGTAAAATTCTTTTACTGGCTAATGTAGATATTGGTCTTCTGAAAGAGGAAGGAGGTTCCTTGCATTTTGTTTTTGAGAAAAGCAGTATTGGAACCAGTTATTCTTCCCAAACTATAGCATCCATTCTCATTGGGTATAAGGTGAGAACTATAACTCCCAGAATACCTTTGGCTGTCTAGCTCCTTATATTCCTGGAATTTTGCCCCAGGAGCTGATGGAGGTTATAGTTTTTCACTGATATGCTTTAATTTCTATGATAATAGGAAATGGTTGGGGCCCTAAAAGAGGCTTGAAGATAGAGAAGCAGAATGGGGACATTGATTCATTCCCCCAGCTCAGGGTGGCATAGGGGAAACAAAAGAGCTACGACTCCCAGAAGCCCCGATGTTGCTCTGTTCCCTGTCTGGTTAGCCATTCACAGGGGCTGACGGGAGTTGTAGTCAGGCTTGTGAATATAAGCATGCAATATTGGGCAAGAAGGTATCTGAGTGGCAGGGCAGCTGGGTCACCACAGGAGCTCACTGGGGAGCTATTGAAACAAAGACATTGTGAAAGGAAAGGGGTCTTTCCTTCATTTATTCATTCAGCCACATTGATCTGAACGAAGAAATGAAGAAATGAAATGTGGGACCTTCTCCCCCAATCCCAGATATCGTGACCCCCAATGGACTGAATGTGAAGAAATTCTCTGCCATGCATGAGTTCCAGAACCTCCATGCTCAGAGCAAGGCTCGAATCCAGGAGTTTGTGCGGGGCCATTTTTATGGGTATGTAGGCCAGATACCTAGATCTTGAGAGAGAGGGTGGTTGGGAACCCAGACTCCTGGGGCCAACAGAGGGGACAGCTGAGGACTCAGCCTCTTGAGTTCTTGAGCGCTAGAACAATGGCTGAGTATTTAAGGAAATCCCCATCTAAGGAGAAAAGAACAATTCCCAGGAGTTCCCATGATGCTTCTGTCCTAAGATGTTCTTTGCCCCTGTGGCTTCTGGGGTTTGTAGTTTCAAGGCTGGGGCTAGTGGGTGAGGGTCTTGGCTTCACCCTGTCTTGTGGCTTCTTTAGGCACCTGGACTTCAACTTGGACAAGACCTTGTACTTCTTTATCGCTGGCCGCTATGAATTCTCCAACAAGGGGGCCGATGTCTTCCTGGAGGCCTTGGCCCGGCTCAACTATCTGCTCAGAGTAAGGCCTGGGCTGCAAAGGGGACAAGGAGGATGAGAAAATCAGTACACGACTGGGGAGAACGGAGACCTGGGGAGGTGGGGGCAGGGAAACCCATGTGTAAAATAGGAGTGTAGGGACCCAGAAACGATATCAGAGTCCCCGTGGGAATGGTAGCTCTGTCCTATAATTCTCCTTGACAGTGAGGAGCATGGCAGGGTCCTTGTGGTCTTGGGGGGTGGAAAAGGGTGGGTGGTCTCAGCCTTCTCCCATGTGATCCTCACACACTCACACGCGCACACACACACACACACCCTCCCTTTCCTCTGCCCCAGGTGAATGGCAGCGAGCAGACAGTGGTTGCCTTCTTCATCATGCCAGCTCGGACCAACAATTTCAACGTGGAAACCCTTAAGGGCCAAGCCGTGCGCAAGCAGCTTTGGTCAGCAGCCCTCGGCCCGGCATCCCTGCCGCTCCCACTCCCAGCTGTGTGCTTTGGGTCCCCTGTTTCTCCTGGAGTCTCAGTTTTGTCATCTGTGACATGATCGACCCATCCCCCACCTGATTCCCAGCAAAGTTACTTGCTCCAGATGCCTGCAACTCAGGGGCAGTACGAAGTTGCAGTCGCAGGCAGGACAAGTGTGACAGCATGACCAGGGCTCTGGTATCAAGCTGGCGAGATCCCGCTCATGCCCCTGTCCTGCTCTGGCTTTGTGACTTTAGGCAAACCACTCCCCGTCTTCAAGCCTCAGTTTCCTCATCTGTAAAAAAACACCTATTAGCCATCAGCTATTTCTTGACCTCCTACTGTGTGCCAGGTGCTGTTCTAGGCACTGGGAATGCAGCTGTGAGGCAGAAAGATAAAATCCCTGCCCTCATTGTGATCACATTCTAGAAAGTTCTATAGAAAGTGCTCTGGCAAAAAAAAAAAGCAGGACTGGAATATGAGACAGGGTTGTCAGGACAGGCCACACTGAGTAAGTGCCAGCAAGTAGAGACCAAGAAAGGAAACGAGGGAGGAAACCCTGTGTGTATCTGGGGAACAGCATTTCAGGCAGAGGCAATGGCAAGTGCAAAGGCCCTGAGGCATGTTTGAGAAAACAGCAAGGAAGCCAGCGGGGCTGAAGCAGAGTACCCTAGGGAGATGGGGTAGAAAATGAGGCCAGAGCTTCGAGAGGACCATGAACAGGGGAATGTCAATGAAGTTGTAGGGTGGCACTTTTTGCTAGCTTTACTTGTGTCCATACATTTTCCTCTCTCAGAATGTAATTTTCCCTTTTTATAAAATGGGGCTTAGCATCACGACTACCAGGACTAGCCTAAGTCCTAATAATAGCTGACATTTTTGGAAGGCTCACTGTGTGATGGGCACTGTGCACTTTTTGTCATGACCTCATCGAATTCTCACTGCAAACCTTTGAGGTTGCTTCTATTTTTATCCCCAGCTGACAGATGAGGCATTGAAGTCAGAGAGGGAAGGCCACCTGTCCCTGGCCGCAGAGCTGATGCAAAGCACAAGGGATCCGAGCCTTCCAGGGCCTATTCCCTGAGTCTCCATCCTCCAGCCAGAAATATCCAGAGCTTCTCTGCTCAGACCTCAACTTCCCAGCTGCCCCAGAAGCCTAACAATAAATGGCAGCTGGTCTATAAGTGATGTTGTCGCTCTGCTCCTTCCAGGGATACGGCCAACACAGTGAAGGAGAAGTTTGGGAGGAAGCTTTATGAATCCTTGCTGGTGTGAGTGTCCCGCCCTCACCCCTGCATCCTCCTGGGCTCTAAACCCTCTCATCACCCATTCCCAGATGCATCCCACTGCTCGCCTTACAGGGGGAGCCTCCCAGACATGAACAAGATGCTGGACAAGGAGGACTTCACTATGATGAAGAGAGCCATCTTTGCCACGCAGGTATGGTTTGAACTCCTGACTCGAAAGATGGCGATTCCCAGCAGCCCTGGAGGCAGCTTGCCGTGTTAGCTCTGACCCCTGAGATGGCTGGGAGTTATGCTTTGTTGGCACTCCTTATTCAAGGAATCAATTCTGAAGTCAGAAGGGTGTGTGTGAGCTGACTGGTAGAATTTCAATTCCCAGAAGCCTTTAGGGCAGCCTGCTTTCCCACAGCTTATTCTGCCACAGAGGCTTCTGGGAGTTGTAGTTTCTTTGAGTCCTTGGGGATCCATGAACGAAAGATGGAAGGGACCTTAAACTAAAGTCAAGCTAGCCACAAAAGGAGAACTGCAACTCCCAGCTAACCCTGGGCCTTGCTGCAAGCTACCTCCACCTCTTCCCCCAGAGACTGCTGGGAGTGGTAGTTTTGTTGGGCCTCTAGGGATAGAGCCAGGTCAGCTAAAAAAATTATTTCGGGACTTCCCTGGCAGTCCAGGGGTTAAGACTCTGTGCTTCAAATACAGGGGGTGCGGGTTCGATCCCTGGTTCGGGACTAAGATCCCACGTGCTGCATGGTACGATCAAAGAAGAAGAAAAAACAACAAAAAACAACAGTTATTCACTGAAGAACATTGAAAACTTTCAGTAGCTACTGTTTCTTATCCCACTGGTTGTGTCTTAGTCTCCAAATACCCCTGGGAGTTGTAGCTTCTTTAGATACCTGGGGTTAATTAGATGGGTGGGAAACCTTAGAGAAAATTGGCAATCACAAAATGAGAACCACAACTCCCAGCAGCCCCCAGGGCTTTCTGTTACCTTGACTCTTCCCTTGCCCCAGAAACTTCTGGGAATTAGAGTTCTTTTATTCTCTGGAGTCAAGGGTTTTTGGTACCTGTAGTCAGGGTTGGTGATTTCCCCCAATCCTGGGGAATGGAAACCAAGACAGCCAAGTTGCACAAACAAGGTGTGAATTGTTTTTGGCCAAACTATAATTTCCAGTAGTTCCTAAGGCAGTCGGTGTCACTGAGGATGTTTCTGCCATGGGGCTGCTGGGAGTTGTAGTTTCCTGGGCTCCTGGAGTCAGTAAACTGAAGATGAGTAGATCTTTTAATGAGAGGAATAATGGGACAGCTGCAAAGAACTATATATCCTAGCAGCCCCTGGGACTGCTGTCACACTAGCTCTGTCTTCCTCCAGTGGCTCTTGGGAATTGTGGTTTCTTTGGGCCTCTTTTGAGGGTGGAGGTGGAGAGAATACAGGATGGAGAGTAAAAGGAACTTGGAGAGAAAGAGATCCAGGATTTTCATAAGAAAACTATAACTTCCGACAAGCAGCCCCTGAAAGGCACAGTCCCCATCAATTGCTGGGAGTTACAGTCCCTTTGGGTTTCTTTGATGAGAGCCCAGAGTACAGAACAAGATAGCTACAACTCCCTCTAGTCTATGAGGCATGTTAACACTGGCTCTGCCTCTAAGACAGCTGGGATTGTAGTTTCTTTTCGTCTTATGGTGGTTAAGGGGGGAAGAAAACCTTTACAGATAGAGCCAAGTAGGAAATCTACAACTCTTGGTAATCTCTTGGGTTTGTTGCTCCACAACCTGATGGGAATTGTCTCCTTAGATCCCCAGGATGAGCATGGCTCATGGGGAAGTAGGAAGCGCTCTGTCCCTTCCCTGACCCCCCCACCCCACTTCTGGCCCCTACAGCGGCAGTCTTTCCCTCCTGTGTGCACCCACAATATGCTGGACGACTCCTCAGATCCTATTTTGACCACCATCCGCCGAATTGGCCTCTTCAATAGTAGTGCCGACAGGGTCAAGGTGAGGGCACTGGCCAGGGTGGGTTGGGCATGGGTGGGTGGGGTGGTGCTGGGGAGGGCAGTGATATGGGGGCTGGAGCCTGAGCCTCACATTCCCCATCTCCCCTGGTATGTCAAAGGATTGCAATGTTTAGAAAGAACCTTTGCTTCTGAGGCAGACTTGGATTCCAGTCTTTGTCCTGACACTGTCTTGTGTGGCTTTAGACAACTTTTTCATCCTCTCTGGGATCCCCAGGGAGTAGCTAAATAAGGTGCTCAGGCTGAGCCCTTGTTTTCCACTGCCAGGTGATTTTTCACCCGGAGTTCCTCTCCTCTACGAGCCCCCTGCTCCCTGTGGACTATGAGGAGTTTGTCCGTGGCTGCCACCTGGGCGTCTTCCCCTCCTACTATGAGCCTTGGGGCTACACACCAGGTGAGTTCAGTGTCTGCCATGATCCCAGGACAAGGGACTGGCCCCCCCTGAGCTCCAAACTCCTCCTTTGCAAAACAGGAACAATGGAAACAGTCTGTTCATGTGTTTTTGTGACACAGTAGCTCATGTGAGTAACTAGAGGGCTGATGTCAGAGTTCACACAGGATTTCTCCCAATTTGCTACTGTTTGGTTCAGCAAAACAACAACAGCTAAATGCCTGGTTCTCTAACAATCAAACTACTTTCATATGTTTTTAAGGCAAAATAAATACCACATTTGCTGTAATATTTCTTAAATGATGAGTAATTTGACAAGTCTTTTAAACTGTGCTTGTGTGATGATTAGGAAATTTTCCAGTTTCATCCACGGTTAAAATGGTGCATAGGTTTTGTGTGACCAGCTCCAGCCCTATTTTTCCCATAAGCCTTGTTATATGTAGTGCCTACTTTTGCAGCTTACAGAGGTTTTTAGAAACACTTATATAAAAATTATAATAAACTCCTTGAAGCATTTCTCAGCGTTATTTAAGGGAGTAAGCGAGGTGTAGTAGGTGCCCTGTACACAGTGATAGTAATAATGAGAGACCTTGTCTTACCTCTTGTCAAAACAGACTATAAAGCTATGACAACCAAAACAGTGCAGTCTGGAACAAAAAGGTGTCTTATAGGTCATGAGGATAAATTAAAATGGTAGACATTGGCCCAGAGTACCGTGCTCAATAAATTAGCATACTTATTACCCAATTATGGACTCTTCCTTACCCTGAGGCCTTGGGGCAAATGAATTCCCTTTTCTGGGCCTAGTAGCTTCCCCTCTAAGGAATAGGGACTATCATACTTTAATGCACAGCCTAATTTGTCTGGTTCCTGACTTGCGCGGCACAGCGCCCGGCTCTTATTAAAGGCGCCAATAGAGGGCGCCATTGGGGCTTTCCCTGGGATTTAACGCAATAAAGAGGGGCAAGCTAAGAGGACCTTTCTCACGCCTTCCCGCAGCTGAGTGCACGGTTATGGGTATCCCCAGTGTCTCCACCAACCTTTCTGGTTTCGGCTGCTTCATGGAGGAACACATCGCAGACCCCTCAGCTTACGGTCAGCGCCCAGAATGAGAGCCGGGACTCTTGGATCCTGGGAAGGAGGGGCGTGGTCTCTTGGGTCACTAAGAGAGGAGGGGGTGGACTCCTGAGTCCCAGTGGGAGGAAGCGTCCCGGTGTCCGCAGAGTCCCAGAGACAATGAAGGTTTCCCCAATCTGTTTTCTGAGACTCGTCCTGGCCCCGACAGGCATCTACATTCTGGACCGGCGTTTCCGAGGCCTGGATGATTCTTGCTCGCAGCTCACCTCCTTCCTCTACAGTTTCTGCCAGCAGAGCCGGCGGCAGCGCATTATCCAGCGGAACCGCACGGAGCGCCTCTCCGACCTTCTGGACTGGAAATACCTAGGCCGGGTATAATTCCCCTCCCTGTCCTCTGCTGTGAATCAGTCACTTACGGCTCTGGGTCTCTGATTCCCCGTGCCTCGAAAGCTGGCGCAAAGGGCATGGTCTCTTCCTATTTGTAACGCTTGCTGTCCCTTTAAGAAAAGAATCAACTTTCATACTGGAAGACCACCGAGGTGGGAAGTTCTCTATTTGCATAAGGGTGCGGCCAAAGAGGTACCTGACTGGAGAATTCCGCTCCTGTTAAAGGGGAGTGGCTCAGAGACTGTCCATTCACAGCTCTGATTATCTACATAAGGGGTGGAGCCTGAAAGATGGATGGTTGGCAGAGGGGCCAACTGGAAACCACCGCAGTGTGCTCATCTGCATAAAACGTGTAACCAGGGTTCACCCCGCCTCCAAACCTGCTGGGGGCGGGGTCAGGCTCCTGCCCCCTGATGCCCACTCCTCTTCTTTCCCCCCAACAAGTACTACATGTCTGCGCGCCACATGGCGCTGGCCAAGGCCTTTCCAGAACAGTTCACCTACGAGCCCCACGAGGCTGACGCGGTAAGTGGATCCGGGGTCTCTCTAGGGGGCCAGGAGCTAGAAGGATGGGGTGGAGTATGGTGTCCCTCCTGGAGCTGCAAGGCCTCAAGGACGCTGGACGCCCAGGCAGGCTGTAGAGGCCTCTGCTCACTATGCGGTTTGTGCCCACACCTCTGTACGCAGACCCAGGGCTACCGCTACCCGCGGCCAGCCTCAGTGCCACCGTCGCCCTCACTGTCGAGACACTCCAGCCCGCACCAGAGCGAGGATGAGGAGGAGCCCCGGGACGGACCACCCGATGAAGATGGCGAGCGCTACGACGAGGACGAGGAGGCTGCCAAGGACCGGCGCAACATCCGCGCCCCGGAGTGGCCACGCCGCGCCTCCTGCACGTCTTCAACCGGCGGGAGCAAGCGCGGCTCGGTGGACACAGCGCCCTCCAGCTCAGTCAGCACCCCCAGCGAGCCCCTCAGCCCCTCCAGCTCCCTGGGCGAGGAGCGCAACTAAGTCCCCTGCCCTGCACTCCCCTGCCAACCCTGCCTCCCTTATCTTGAGGGTGGATGCAGAATGGCGCTGTCCCTAAACTCCACTCCAGCCCCTCTAGCTCCTCTCTCGAAATCCCAAACACTCCAGAATCCTCAACGCCGTGCCTTTCTTGGGTTCCAGAATGCATAATCTGTGCCCTGGAGTCCCCCAGGCCATCCCAGAGGCCAGGAATCTGCCATTATCCTGCCGTGGTGCCAGAGGTTTTCGGAAACCTGCTCTGTTGCCTTCTATGCTGGGGCTCCTTGAGCCCCTTGCGGCTTGCTAATTTTACAGCATACAGAGCCTGCCATGCTCAGGCCTGGCCCAGGGCCACCAAGCACTGGAAACCACGTGGAGTCCCTGCTAATGAGACAATCAAGTCCAGAGCTGGGGCACTTTCAGGGACTTAATGCAGGTTAACTCCAGAACTCGGGCTCCAGGCCAGTGCGCTCGTGTTTACTCTGATTTAGCCCTCCCTGGGGTGTCCGGCTCTGCCTGGAGGATCCCTCCACCCCTGTTCCCTTCTTCCTCTGCACTTTGGCCAAGCAAGTGGGGGCAGAACCACTTGGCTTCTCATTCCTACTGGAGAACAAGATGTCTTGGTCTAGATGCCTTTCTGGACCAGACCCTACTCCTCCTTCCCTGAGTCTGAACTCTTCCCCATATCTCTAAACTCCTGCGCCCTACAGGGAATCCCTCTGCTGAGAACAACTGTCTTCCCCAGTACCTGCACACATAACCCCCAACCGCTAGACCCACCATGAAACCACTGGATTCTAGATCCCAGCTGCCAAATCTAGAACCTCACCACTTTGCTGCATCCTGGTCCCTTCCTTCTGGTCTAGAACTCAGCCCACTGGATTCTAGAACCTCCATATTTACCTCGAGGCTCTTCCACCCCTAAGCTGTGCCCTGCCCCCAGCTTTGGTGAAAGGGAGGGGCCCCTCACAGTGTGCTGTGCTGTGTCTGCTGCCATTGGTTTGCAATTGGGAGGGGGGAGGGCAGAAGGTGTGATTGAAGTGTGTCCAGAGATGAAAAAATACATCTATATTTAAGAATCTCAGGTCTAGTCTGAACGGAGGGCTTGGTGGGCCTCAATCCTGGCCCCGCCCTCCTCTTCCTTCCCTCTTCACCTCTTGATTCCTCCCCTTGCCCACTGCTGGGTCCTGGTTCTCTTGTCTCATTCTACTGTCTTAGAGACTTGGATTGCCACTGAATTCCAGTGTTATTTCAAAGGAAGGCAACTCTCTTGTTTTTGACTCGACTTGCAAGTGGCAAAGTTGGCTCAGGCTCTTAAATTCCTCAGTAGCACTAGCCATATGCAAGGGCTCAATAGCCACTGGCCACATGTGGCCCATGGCTACCCTATTGGACAGCTCAGATACAGAACATTTCCATCACTGCAAAAGGTTCTATTGGACAGCACTGGCTTAGAGCATGTTTCTAGGACTCTGACCTCTGGACTTTGGCCCTACAGTCCCCTGGATGACTCTACTTTTGGAAAAGAGTCTTTTTCTCCGTTCAGTTCTAATCGTCCCTAGGCTATATGTGCATCTCTGAATCAGTCGCTTTTCAGGGGAGTAGAAAGCTCTGATTGTTTGAATTTGGATATGTGATCTTTCTGTTAGCCTAGCCGCAGTGTTTGTGACACCCAAGAGTCCCCTCCCCCACTAGAATTACCAGCGGGAGGGGCATGGTGCTGAGCAGACAAAAGAACAGCTGTCTAGCAGCCATTTCCTCTTAGATTCATCTACCAAAAATAGGATGGGGTAGGGGGGTCAGAGTTGACATCGTTTTATTGCTTGGACCGAGCAGCTGCTTAAGTCATCTTCAAGCTTCTTCAGTTCCCATTTGGATAATTTCACATCCCATTTCTGCCTGTGTTGAGCCCTGAACCCCTAGCTCAGCACCTCTTTCACACCATGTGCCCTCAGCTGCTCAGACCCACTAGCCAGGTTCTACCTATTATGTGCCTTGAATTCCACACCTGTAACAGCCTTTGGAGGTCAGAGCTGGGTGTGCCTCCCGGTTACCATGGGTAATTTACAGTTTGTCTCAACTTACCCATGTAAAGGAGCTCACATTTCTACTTAGCCTCCCAGAACTGAGGCAGAGTACCTTCAGAGCTTGGCAAGTGCCTAGCAACATAACTCATGTGAACCGGTTTCTCATTACTGATCTCTTTAACAGCTGTCTGCTTCCAGCTAGCAACTCCAGGTTTTACTAGACTCTCCCTGGAGTCTGGGCTCTACCATCTTAGGAGGGGCAGTTACAGCCTGGCAAAGCAGAAAACCCACTACAGCAACACCCCACAGGTGTTATTATGTCTTAGAAGTAGAGCGCCAAACTCCTCTCTCCCTGCCAGCCCAGTGCAGCCAGAAGCCTTGTGAAAACAGATCCCACCTTTTTTCCCAGGATACACAAATACTACTAGCTGCTGCAAAAAGCTTTATTGTTTCCATTTGGTCCAAGGCTTGGGAGAGGGCTCCACTGTGGTTAACTGCCTACTGGAGATCCCACCTTTTTTCCCAGGATACACAAATACTACTAGCTGCTGCAAAAAGCTTTATTGTTTCCATTTGGTCCAAGGCTTGGGAGAGGGCTCCACTGTGGTTAACAAGCTGCCTACTGGCTGCAGAGAGGGGCTTCAGGCAGAAGCCCTGACACCAGAGGGGCTCCTCAAAGGCCACTGGGCTCCGGAGGCTCCTAATCGTGCTTGAGGGTGAGCCTTTCGAAGAGATACTCGCCCAGCCCAGCCTGGGGACCAGCCAGCCTGCGGAGGTTGGTCAGGTGGTCACCCATCTTCTTGATGAGTTTCACCTCCTCATCTAGGAAGTGGCTCTCCAGGAAGTCGCAGAGCTGAGTGATAAAAGAGGAGAAAATGTTGCCATGTACAGATCTAACAATGTGACAGATGGGGGAAGGAGACTCAGAAGGAAATCTGCCCAATCAAATGAGGCCAATGCTTAGTATGTAAGCATCATTCCAGGGAAGGTCTTATAGACACGACTGGAGATACTTACGTGGGGGTCTGCGCGGGCACAAGCCAGGGCATGCAGATCCAGAAGGGCCTGGTTCAGGTTCTTCTCCATGTTAATGGCGGCTTCCATAGCGTCCTGAGTTTTACCCCACTCATCTTGAGATGGCTTCTATACCGAAAACAGAAACGGCTCAGTACTAGCCACATACTCTGGAAAGGACTAAAAACTAATTTTCCAGTAGTTGCGAGAGTAGATGTCTTAACCGGAAAAAAACGTCTAAGAGTTTGTATCTATCATTCCCCAGTGTCCTATAACTACACGTCCCAGGACCGTGTACGCTGCGCTCTGTACCGCCACGTCTTGGGAAAACTGGGTGCGCCTCGATCTCCAGCTGTAATAACCCACAAAAGACTGAACTCAATCTCCGAGAGGCCTACGCGGTGTCTAAACCGCTACAGTCAAGGGGCCTCTAGTGCGGGGACTGTTGGGAGATGTAGTTCGCTGCCCACACACAATTTACCTGCACGTCCTGGAAGAGGGCGCGGCCGCCGCGCTGGTTTTGCATTTTCAAGAGACGCCTGGCGCTCTCGTGCTTCTCTTCGGCCAATTCGCGGAAAAAGTGGCCCACGCCCTCCAGAGCCACATCGTCGCGGTCGAAATAGAAGCCCTGCGGGAAGAGATGGCGGGAACAATGGTTAGCAGGAGGCGAGGCCAGGCATGCGGACTCCGCCTCTGACTATCCAACAGAACAAAGAAGGCCAGCGCGTGCGCAGAGGGCCGGAGGTGCGCAGCTGAGGGGAACTTGGGCTGGGGGCGTCCTGGGGACCCTCACCAGAGAGAGGTAGGTGTAGGAGGCCCGCAGATGCATGTTGACCAGGCGGTTGACGGCGGCCTCCACCTCGGTGGAATAATTCTGACGAATCTGGGAGCTCATGGTTGATCGGTAATGAGTTCGGCTCAAAAAATGGTGTTGGCTGGTCCCGGTGACCGAGGACAGCTGAGTGGCTGACTCCGAAGGTTGGAGGGTGGATAGATGAGTGTCTGACTCCGAAGGCTGGAGGGTGGTCGGAGGCTGGAAGAAAGGGCGACCCTGGGTCTGTTCCGTCCAAACACTGTTGAAGCAAGAGACAGATCCGGGGAACCGCCGAGCGCAATGAAAACGGCTGTGCCCAAGGCGGCTTCTTTTATAGCGCGCAGGCCCTCGGAAGTGGGACGGTCAGGGAGAGCAATCGGCCAATCTGCGGTGGTGGGAGGCGGGGCCTGGAGCCCACGCCTGACCAATCAGGAGCATATAGGACTCCTATACCCCCCCCCCCGGAGGTGGGGAAGTCACGCGCCTGTAGGCGACGGCTGTTGTGAAATGGGGAATGGGGGGGGTGGGGGTTTTCGCGGGATGCAACGGCTCTGGGGCTAATTCTGGGAAGTCGAGGGATTCTGGGGTGGGGGTGGGGAGGGAGACTCCCTGGTAGGTGAAAGATTAATGAGGACACTGGGAACCCTGGAAAATAATGATTCCTGGGTCCTGGGGGTGTCTCAGGAAAGTAGATCGGATTCTGGTGCTGTGTCAGGGCACGGACTTTACTGGAACCCTGGGGGGGGGGGGG